ATATGTACTTATATTACTTGAAAATCAAAGTTTGTGGGTTTCTATATTATTATTGCTGTCATACTCATATTGGTAGTTGGACAACCGATCTTGTTTTTTTTTAAACTAAGCATTCACAACTTGTGGTAACTCTGGCAGAGCCCTACTTCGGCAAAAATGGGCAAGTTCAATCGGATTGATACCTTAACACCGGTTTTCTGAGGCCAAGAAACCAAACTCCCGCTCCCGCTGATTCTAGGGGGAAATACTCAAAATGCGGGCAATGAACTTATGGCTCTCGAGAGGCAGGTGTCCAAGGGGGGCGGCAGTTACCTATTTACCATCAGGTGACACGGCCGTTATTATATATTTATTTGATCTTGGAATGCCAACAGCTTTACAAATTGATTTAATATTGTATAGGCTACATTCAGCCAATAACAGATCTCCACGAATAGAAAACAGTTTACAATAAGTAAGTCCGAGGATGTATTACTTAAAAGCTATTTTAAATAATAGGTAATATAAGTTTAAGAAAGAATAAAGCACAACACTTCATAAAATTAGTATTCTGAATTAATATCATTAGTAATAGATTATGGGCATATTAGTTTTATTGAAACATGTAAGGAAATGTCCGGCCTGCCTAGTTTTTGTAATAATAAGGATGACTGCTCAAATATCAGTTTACTATTTTGTTATTATTGTTTTATTGCAATAATCACAATGACGAACAGTGTATTGTGAAGAGGATTGTGTAAATAAAACATCTTTAATATAGCATACTGTTTTAATTTCTAATAAACCCTCAATACAGAATTATAGGGGGTTAGCGGTCTTGATTTTAAGTAAACTTAACTCCGACATAATAGTACAAAAATAACGAGGAGTTACTCGCCAGGGAATAAAATAATATATTTAGTATTTCATAGACGTTCCATTTATCAGTACATAAAGTACACCATTACCATACTCTTACAAGTTTAAGTGAAAATAGGACGAAAAACTTACAATCGAATACATACTGATAAAATGAAACTTTGTTAAAATTTTAAGTTATCACAATGTTGCCTGTGATAATACGAATGTCTTTTCATTAATACTATGATCCCGCTCAGATGGCTACAAGTTTCCTAATTCTGTCTAATTATCTAAGGCCAATATGCTATATCTACAATTTTGTGATTGAATTTACGATCCAATTAAATATATCAACACAAAATATTCAATATAGCGTAACGCCAGTACGCTTTATATAATAAATACAACGTGGAATTTATGCTCGCATTGTACGAAAGTTACTACTGGGCTAGCCACGGAATGAGTTTAGGATTTTTCTTATTCCCTAACAATAATACAGTCAATGAATATTTAATACGATATAATTATGTAGTGACAATGGCGATCATCACAATAACAAAATGGTCCCACAAAGTTGTTTAGATTGGACGCGGAGACGACGGCGCTCAAACGATTCCTAACTCCCGCACAATGCCGCATAATCACTATACAGAATTGAATAATATAACACCCAGTGCATACGATAATGTTTATTAGTATCTCAAGTGACGACAAATAATTTTTTTAACGCAAGCTGGAATATGAACGGAAATTAGCCTACCCTTAATGACAGTTCGAGAGAAACAATGGACGTGCGTACAGTACGCCACGCAAGCTACGAACACACCACAATGCAAGCTTAATTATAACATACGCAACGCATGCGGTCGATTGTACCCATTATTCTAAGTTAGCAAGTCGATCCTAAACTATGTATAACACTACAATTACATTCCACCACAGTCTTAAACCAATTTGTTAAGACATTTAAAACATATTATATAAAAATGATATTCATTTATATTTATGTATATTCTTGAAACATTCACCTAGTAACAATGTGCGTACAATTGACCGCGAGTGGCGTAACGCACGCGCGTACGGCCAACGTACAATTGAGAATTTGATACAAAGCTATAAAATTATTATATGTATATCATATAAAATTTATTAATTAATTTCTGATTGAGTAGAGTGCTATTAAGGTCATAAGGTCATAATGATCAAACGTGTGTTACATAAGCAAGAGTATTTAGTTTTTTAAGTTATGGTCAACTTTTTTTTTAAATTACAGGACCATCACTAGCTCAGGCCAAGATACTTTGGCTGAACACTAATAAGTGATTGACTTTGTTTAAAAAAATAATTTGACAAGGAAATTGTCTTTAAGGGATAGTTTTTTAAGAATAAAAGTAATGTATAGGTATGATATGACTAATATATATATGATTGATGATGCTGATAGTCCATGTTCTATTTTAATATCGAATGAAAAATGAAGTTCTTATAAAGGAGCAAATAGGAATTGTTTCAAGTATACTGCCTCTATGGTACATTGTGAGTAAAGATGGCAACACTGTGGCTATCAACTAATGACATTAGCTTTAGTTCAACTCTCCGCCGCGTTCATTACGATCCTAATAGCACTGCACAGAACCACGTGGCTGTCTTTGATAAAAAAACTGCATAAAATGTTACTTAGGAAACAGCACAAAATTAACCTATAATATTCATTATATATAAACATGTATAAACATACACCCTTACATTTCACCTCCGCTTTAAACTAACAAGATTATCGGACAATAGCAACTTAACAGAAGTTAGCTTACTCGCGCGCGGTGTTCGGCCGCTCCGCACTATAATATTTTTCATTTATTTATAATTATGTATGTGATCATAAAATTGTTGTGGTAATTGCATTTCTTATGTTTGGGTGTAGCGGCCAGCGACCGCCACTGCCGCTTCCCTTGCGTCTAGCCGCTAGCCTGGAAAATACAAACATCGATTAAACTATAAAAGACATGCCTTTTTGGGTTAATTGTTAAATAAATAAATACTCCAATTTAGTTGTCATTTCTACCTTTTTCATTGGGTTGTAGTCTCGACAGTCTTGCGGTATAAATTCAAAAAAGGAGGTTCCTACAGTTCAGTGAGGGAAATTATTGCTACTTTTAAATCATAATCATGTGATGAAAGATGGGTTTTAGTCAATGCGATTTTACCTGTGATACATCACTAACCTCCTTTCTAAGGAGAGTCCTATGTCCAGCAGTGGACTATTGAAGGCTGTTGATGATGATGACATCACTAATATGAATTTGGTCATAAAAAGTGCCATCAAAACTTAAGTAAAAAAAAAAAACCTATATTGAACTGTCTTGTTATCAAAGACAACGACCTTTTTTAGATTAAGACTTTTCGCGAGTCTAGCGCTAGCGTAATTATAATCATACGTGGCAGTGTTTTTATAAATTAGGTGTGATTATATCTCTTTAAATCATATGATTTATCACAGTTGATTGTGATTTTAATACATCCCTAATGCCGACCTCTTTAAGTTATGGAAGGCAAATGAGCAGGTGAGTCACTTGATGGCAAGTGACCACCGCCGACCATGAACACCTGCACAAGAGCTTAACTCAAGAGGCACAAGTGCGTTGCCGCTATTTGAGTGCTCAGGAATGCAAGGCTCTTTGTATTTTTGAAGAGACACCTGAGGTACTAAATAAGAATATAGGGCCACCAACCTTATTTTGAAAACATGCCAAACACTTATTGTTTATATCGATTTTCTATATCTGTAGAAATTTGTAGAGACTGTGATAAATTAATATGTTTAATTACAATCAAACGAAAAAGATTGTACTACAACTTACAAAGTGATTGTATTTAAATGAGTTGAGTAAAATACTGAATATATACGTAATACGTGTGAGAGATTTATAAAATTGTAGTAATATAATATGTAATAAATAATATATATATGTTAGCTTTTAGATCAGAATTGCAATGACTGTGTTTAAAATACGAGTGTTGATTTTCTCACAAAAACGAAGATGTTTATGAGTCATACAATAACCACATAACTGTGTAAAAAATACAGTGACTATGAAGTGAACGATCTAAATTGAAAATTTGTCCAACCACATAAGTATATACTTTCATGACTATTACACTTTTATCCTTATTTTCTGATTTGATCGCAGTTCGTGAACTATGTTTACTTCAGTAAGTAAAATTAAGAGATGGACTAGCGGAAACGGGTCACTATCAGTCCCCCAATATAAGTTTGCCTTTAGTTTAGGAAGATTTTAGTATCAATGTGAAATTTGAAGGATGTCCGATATTGCCATTCGGCAATAGACTCCGCTTATTATGCGGACGATAGCGTACGTACGTTGTTCAGAAACAAAACTGGCAAAACTCATTTTATGGGTGTACGGACTTCAGAATAATATAAATGAATGCAGAATCGTTACCAAAACACGCAATGAAATAAGGAACTTTAATTGTCTTCTGGCAAGTCAAAAACGTAAAGAAGATAAAGACAAAGCGCGAGAGAGAGGTAAGGGGGTACGATACCACAAGTTTCGGATGAGAAATAGGAGACTGCGTTAACTTAAAGAGGTCAGGGTTCGATCTGTGATTTGGGCTACTAGGCCAAGGACTGGCTAACTACTGGCCGTTTCGTACGTAGAAAGTACAGCGGGCCTAGAGAGAGTTTATTTCGACGACCGAATGGCGTCGTGGTTTGTGTAACGGACTGCTATTCCAAAGGTCGCGGGTTCGATTCCCGCTCAAGTTAAATATTTGTGTGCATGAACATTTAATGTTTGATTTGGTCTGGGTGTTTCTATGTATAATAAGTATGTATTTACAAAAAAAAATGTATATATGTATTTATATCAGTTGTCTAGTACCCATAGTACAAGCTCTGCTTAGTTTGGGACTAGATGCCGTTATGTGAATCTGGTACAATATTATTTATTTATTTATTTCACATCAACTAGATCGTCACGATGACTGGTTCGGTGTTGCGATTGGCCCACACTGAACTCTTCACCAATCGCAACACCGAATGCGGCCTAAGAACGAGTTGATGTGAAATATAATCACTAGGCCCCCAGGTCCCCAGGTACAAATTAATATTACACTTAAACGTACCGTGGTCGGCGTATTCAGCAGCAAGACGACTTGCCGGTGTCGATGGGGTGTCCCTGGTCGATCTTCACCTGTCCGCCAACGGGCGCGGCGCCCGTGGAGGGCGGGCCCACTCGCGCCTTGATCTCAGCGGCCATCGTCATGAAGGCTTGCTCCACATTCGTGGAGTTCTTCGCCGATGTTTCCAAGAATGGGATGCCAAGTTGTTCTGCGTATTGCTGTGGTATGGAAAATGAAAAAACATTAAACATTTGTGTTATGACCCTTGATGTAACTTACGATGTGAATAATTTAGATATTATATTCGACCATAACAAATGGCATGCAAATTATTAACATAACTTACACTTACTTGTGAGGAAATAATAATTTAGACATATAATGTCTAAGTTACGGATGAGGTATTAAATAAAAATTGAAACACGGAAATAGAAGAGCCATTTCACACGACTATTATTTCTAATTTGGCTGTCACAGTTGGGAAGTTCGTGTATGTACATTAAGTCACATTATCAACAGCTGTTACTAGTCCACTTCTGGACATAGACCTCTCCTTAGAAAGGAGGTTTTGGCCTACTATACCACGCTGGCCAGACGGGTTGGTATAGGGTGTGTGTCAAGTTTTCCTTCTTTTTGCAGTGCTGGTGTCCTGCGTTGTTTTGCGCCCTTAGTCGGCTCTTACGACACCCACGGGATGAATTGAGGTAGTGACATTCCGTATTCTTAGTCCGTCACTACACGGACATTAAGTGATCAGCGCATACTATACTCACGTTAGCTGTGGTGTAGTCGACCACTTTCTTAGTGGTGAGATCACACTTGTTGCCAACCAGCAGTTTGTTGACATTGTCGCACGCGTAGCGATCGATCTCCTCCAGCCACTGCTTCACGTTACTGAATGAGTCCTGGAATCAATAAACAATAGCCATGTAACATACGTTAACATAAATAGGTTTAGATCATAATTGTGAAAATGTCGAGACTTTGGCAATTTAATTTGTTAGGATAATTACAATGAAGTATATAGTGAGGTTTTTGCTGGAAAACTTTAGTTACTAAAGTCGGAAAATTTATTCATTTCATTGAAACTTCATGCATTGCATGCATGCATTCATTCTCTGACAGTCTTATCTTAGTCAAAATTATAATTTTGTCAAATAAGTGCAAATAACGGCAAATCTAATAGTTATTTACTTGAAACGTCCAATAGACTCATACCAGCGTCAGGTGCAAGCAATCGTACCTAAACGTTTTGGTTTGATTCATACCACGGGGTGACTGCGATAGTCAAAACGTCACTTAAGCACGACCGACTTACGTCAATTAATTAAAATGATTCAGGCTAAACTTCCAGTTCAAATCTAACATCCTAGATATATTTCAACCATAATTACTATTATGTATGTATTAATACTAGTATGTTTTACAAACGAGTGTTGTGGCAGACGAGCTACATATAGTAGGTTCAATTCCCACGCAGAATAAATAATTGTATGATGAGCATAATCAATTTTTCTGTGTCTGGGTGTAATTTATCTTTAATATCTATGTATTTAGAAACATATGAGTATATTTATCTGACAGTCGTGTGTGAGATATGCCAAGTTAGAAATAACTTACAATAGATATTGAATCGTCATATAAACAAGACGTCAAACTAATTAATAATGTAATATGTACAATGACTTTAAAGATAATATAAAGATTTTGTAGTTAGAAAGAGTATACTGTCACTTAGTAATAAAATAGTATTGCAATTCCTGATAAATGCTAGCTTGTGTTACAACTAATGTGGTTCCAATTCATATGCTTATTAGTAAATTAAGGTCAAAAGATAAAAGCTTACATAGATAAAAGATAAAACTACGGTAATTAATGTTATCTAATCACGAAGAAGTTTCAAACTCCTGAAACTATTTTTGTAGTTTATGTTCTACGTCCTGGAGTTACCATGCAACTTTATTATGTAACGGAATAATCAAAGAGAAAGGAGAAAAAGTAAGTACTGTGTAAAAAAAGTACCCAACAAGAGAATGCAATAATTATTTTTATGGAATTCTGGGAGATAGTGTGACCACCCCTTTTAATCCCGTGGGTATCGTAAGAGCAGACTAAGGAAACAAACCCAACAACAGCACTGCAAAGAGAAGACAAACTTGAAACAAATAGGTATAGTAGGCCAATGAACCGTAACGGATAGAAACAGACGGTTTTGTGGTTTAAAAAGACAAGTTCCGCACCAGGAATATATCCTGTGTCGCGGGGGACTTTACAAACATACATGAAACGGTCACAAAGAACACCCAGACTCAGAACAGCTATTTGTGGATCACACACAAAGTGTCGTCCCATCTGGGGAACCCACAACACTCAGCGTAGTAGGAAGCGCCGTGGCGACCGCTTAAACCACTACGCCATCCGTGCAGTCGGGTGCGGTTTAGCTATTTATCTTTCTAACACACCAGATGTTTGACATAACATTCCGCAGTAATAAAAAACTTTGAAAAAAAAAATGTTGCTGAGAAAGGTTGCGCGTCCTCTGCATGACATATCAAATATCATCGCGCTCATGTTTCTATTTTTGGGACAGGTAGTGTGACGAGTATTTTTTTTTGTTTACTAAACCCTATTACAAAAACCAACCAACCATTACAAGCCTACCTTCGTTTAGGCCTAAGGGTCATATCGTAATGTTTTATAGCCCATTTTGTTTCTAATAAAAATATACAATACAAAGTAATAAGATGGTTCTAGTTTATAAATTTAAAATAGATAAAGATAAAATAGATAGATAATAGAATAGATTAAAAAAGGAAAACCCGAAACCTCATTACAACACAATACCGAGTTCTAAAGTCACAAGTTAATCTATATTAGGAGGCAGAGTTCGACATATATTTATGCCCAATGATTATATTTTTTGTTATACAATAATATAAATTGATTAGTACAAGATGGTCCAAAGCATCGTAGTAGCAGGTAATTGGCGCAAATATAACAACAGAAATGGTTATGCGATGCTGTACTTTTGTCTGACTAGGCACGTGCCTGCCCATTTTATTACGTTCTGCGTACATAATTAAACAGGTACGTTATTAAAGAAAAATGAACAGCTGTGTAAAGTTGAACACGAGACTGTTAGGAACACGGAGATTGACTGATCTTGAAAATGGAATACTGTAATAATCGACTGATATTAACGATACCTTCTTTTTCATCCATTAAATTCTCTTAAAATATCTAAGTAACGTGGACTCAATATTATATTTTGTTTTTTTAAAGTCATGAAGACTAAAAAGGCAAAACAGTGGTATAGTTCAGCAAGCGTTCTAATCGTTGATAAATTTATTGTCATCTCATTTAATATATTATTTTCCTTAACGCTATTTCTTTATGAGGTCTAAAATTAACTTTAATTTTCTACTGTTTATAATACATTGGAGCTTAACTTGAAAGTTACACTTACACATGTAAGTGTAACTTTCTGTATTGTGACTTAAATACAGGCATAGCCGTATCTACAATTGCATAAATTGAAAAAAAAAACGCAATTTATTTACTTCATGGCCACCTCCATGAATTAAGTCATCCAATATAATTTATTTGTTCGTATTAGTTTTACGCTTATGCCACAGCTCTGCTTACTCTAAATATTGTAGTGTGATATTATTGCAATTAAAAACTTAAACAAAAATGAAAACTATTTTTCTAAAGCCAACCTGACTTTACAAATCTGACGACTAGAACTAGCTACTACTAAAAATAACAGTTTCATATGATTTTTCAACACCCCTTTTGCACCCTTAGGGGTGGAAATAAAAAAAAAATAGTGCACACCTACGTCACCTAGGGAACATTTGTTAAAAATTTCATGCTTCCAGAGCCAGCAGTTTCTTTTTTTATAGATATGGATTTGTTATGGATTTATGGTTTGACTTATCGTGTTGTAGTTTTTTCGTGTGGCTTCGCTCACACAAATGCTATTTGCTATCCCTCTTGCACAATTCTTCTTTCCCTGGATAAAAGGTATCCCCTCACAACGTGTTGAGTAGTTAAGGCGTGAACGCATAGCAAACAAACCAACTCAAATTCACATTTTTAATATTAGTTAGAAATTCAGTTCAAAAACAAGAGACAACTTTATTAGAAAGTAATTTGCACTATCTACAAACACCGAACAGTGTTTTAACTTTTATTTTTTACTCTCGCCTCGTAGTAATATTGTTAGTAGATTTCGATAATAGAACCAACCTCCTCATTAAGATGGCTGTAGGAGTGAAAGTAATATTTTTTGATATTGAAAACTACTGAACAAAAATAACAGTTATAAACTGGAGTGCGGTTCCTCGCCCCGCTATTCTTTGAAACTATTTGTTAAGGACAGTAATATTTTATTTGATTTAACACATCATGCACTCTTAGTGCGTTGGCGGACTTTAAATGCGGTGATGCAGAGAAAACAGGAAGTGGATGTATTTTGGTTGAAGTTAGTTTTGTGATAATAATATCAAATACACATACATAACCCTATCATATACTAGAACCTATACACATTATACATAAGAACATACATATACTTAAATACATATTAACTAATATAAATACATACGCAAATAAATACACTAAATAAGTGAATAATATTGAATTACAGTTGATTCTGCGAGTTGTTTCAAATATACTGCTTTACCTTTGTTTTGAATGAGAAAGTGTGGGTGGCCATTCCAAAGAACGAACTGCACAAGAACAAACAAACAACAAACTCAGACGTATAGGAGGGCCAGCGATAGTATAGCAATAGTATATTAATATAAAATTTTATTACTTTCATCAGTAAGCATCAGGGCGATGATGAATCAGCTAATGAATCAGGGTTACACCGCGTTTGTTTCGATAAAATGTGCAAAATAAATGGCTAAAAACGCCCACTTACATAAAGCGTCCGTATGATTGGTTCATTCCTAGTATTATCCTAAAAAAATGTTACTCAGAATAAAGCTGTCGGGTTAGTAACAGCAATTCCTAGTAGAAAATATAACATAAGATACATATTCAGGCTCGTGGCGCATTCCGGTTGAATTTATTCAATTGCTCTCCGAGCTCACCCAAATCGAACAATGATTTATTTATAATTTACTTATAGGCTTAACTATGTCCGTCCGGGATGTTGTACTTTTTAATTCTAAAACCTGGGGAAATTACTTATAAAAACACAGTCTTAAAAAATTGGCATTGTTTTTATAACTTGCTACCATACAGTGTCATTTAAACGGGTTGAATGTTCAAGGATATTGTTGGTACGTGTTTTTCGAAAATATTGGAGTCGTTTAATTTTTCAAATATAATACTTATTTATTTATAAATTGTACTGATAAGTAGCTACTAAGAAAACTGCATCAAAGTTGTGCAGCGTAGGTTATTTACCTTCAGTAGGTAGTCAGTAAATTCGCACGAACGCAACAAAATGAGGTCAATTTAATCAGAAACTGGGACAGATAATTACGTTATAACTGCAGTATCGCCGCTAAGGATTTTATATCAAGTTCAATTTAAAGAGGATGTGGGTCGTAGTTATATAAGATAAAGATAGACGTCACGCATGGAAGAAGAGAATAAATAGAATATTCTTTATTATATAGTATACCTTATGGAACTGTAAGAGATGGTATATTTAATGTTAGGTACAGGCGGAATGGTGTCCATGCGTAAATATGAGTTTGTTTATTTGTTACCTGTTCACGTCTTAGCTATTAAACCATAACCTTGTTCAGTACATCCAGAAATAGTCTCAACTAAGTCTGTTCCCCAGGAATAGAATAATAACTTTTAGGCGAGCAAAGGCTCAAAAACAACTAGTCTCTATAACATAATTTTAATAAAAAAAACTGTTAACTGATTTAATGTTTTC